TACTCTGGGGCAGTAAAATGAGGCTGGGGGTCTCCTGGGTGTGGTGGCTCTGCTTGGCCAGGATGGGGGTTTGCCTAGGGTACCTCCTGGTCAGCAGTGGCCCAAAGAGAGGGCCTGGCTATAGTGACTGGGGTCCCAGGTGACAAGGGTCAGAGGGCCCCGCCCCATTGAGCAGAATGTGAGTGTTTCAAATCCCTCCCAGACTCAACTCCAAAGAGGCTGCCCACTCCTGGGTCCCCACAGTGACTCAGTATGGGCCTGGCCTGGGGACGCTGCCCCCTTCACCCAGGCAGCTGCAGTTCTCAACCTTGGGGTGCCCGAATCATCAAGGGGCTTGTCTGTGACACCCTTTCTCTGGTTCCCTAGCCCTGGTTTGCCAGCTCTGAGTGGTCCTGGAAGTGTATGTTATAACAAGTGTCCCCAGGTAGGCCTGCCACACACGGATGCTGAGCTACACTTGAAGAAACCAGCTTCCTGCTGAGGCACATGGGCCTTAGGTTCCAATGCCATCTTTCTTATTTGGATGCTGGGAGGTTTGTTTGCACAAAGCTGCTTGGCAAAGGCACGCAGCAAATGGCAGTGGCCAGTAAAAGATGGTGGCCATTGCTGGAGTCAGGAGAACCAGGGGCCCATGAGGGCTCAGCACAGCCAAGGGGCAGAGGGAGGGCACAGCTGGCCAGGCGGGGGTGATCCGGAGGGGTATGGGGTGTAGTTTGGGGAGGCTGACTGGATGTGGCATGTGGTTGTGGAGGGTCTGGGTCTGATTCTGTGGACCATGGGGAGTCATGGAAGGTTGTGGAGCGGCAGACTCATAGTGCTGGGGTTCCATATTTGTGTGGAACTGGAAATATATCTGGAGATGGAGCAGACATAGCCCCTCAGCCCTGGTGGCTGAGTTCCAACCAGCAGAGAGAACTTCCATCCTGGTGAAAAGTGGTGTGAGGCCCAACGGCCCTCACACTGGAAGGAGAGTGTTAGGACTGATGGAGGGAGAAAGGAGCATTTAGCAGGAGGGTGGGTTGGAGGAGGGCAGGGAAGGCTACCTCAGATCCGGTATCCTCAGCCCAGGAGCCTTCTTTGAGTGGCCTGCACCCTGGCACACACGTTCTCAGTAATGGCTTCTGGGCCATCCATTCATCAGTCAGTTCACAAACATTTATCCAGCATTGACTTTGGTCTTGAAGAAGCACACTGCTATGTTGTAGACGGAAGGGGGGAGGAGGGGCTATGTGGCAGGGCATTGGGGCAGTGTCCAGGAGCTGAGAATGGCCCCCTGCCAATAGCCAGCAAGAATGCAGGGACCTTGGGCCTTCAATAACAAAGAGCTGAACAATACCACAACCAGAGAGTTTGCAGGAGGCCCCTGAGCCTCAGATGAGGACTGGAGAATGGAACCCCAGACTTCTGAGACCCTAGGCAGAGGACCCCACTAAGCCTGGGCTCCTGATACACAGAACCTGTGATAATAAATGTGCTTTGTTTAAAGCTGCTAAGTTTGGTAATTTGTTACACAGTAATAACGAATATGCCTTGTTTAGACAGGGTGGCCAGGGAGGTCTCTGAGGGGGTGACCTTGAAACTGAGACATGAAGGAAGAGCAACACCCTGCTGTTGGGAGGACTGGGGGAAGAGCCTTTGGGTCAGGAGCTGGAGGTGGGGTGAGCCAGGAAAGGCCGCGTGGCTAGGGCAGGGTGAGCAGGGGGAGGGTGGTATGGGGTGGGGTTGGAACAAGCAGACAGGACCAGACCTCGAATGACATTTTCAATGTGCTGGTAAGTTTGCTGTGTGTCCAAAGTGCAGCAGTTCCAGGGGGAGAGGGGATTTGATTGGGTCCAGCTCCCCGGGTACAAAGGAGAAACAGGTTTGCAGAAAACTTTGTGCAGAATCAGTGAGTATAAAACTGGGCGGAAGGATTCTGGCTGCAGGTACCAGGTCATGTGCCTACCTGGTGGGGAGGGAGTGGTAAGTGTGATTGGGACCTGCGGAGAGTAGGGGCAGGACCCCGTCCCCTGGGTGCTTGCTGGGGTGGGGGCCAAGCTGTGGGCATGTAGGTGTGTGTGCAGGGCCCACTGCTCAGGGGTTGGCTTAACAAGGAAGAAGTTCTACAAGAATAAAGTTGGACTCCTACCTCACACCACATACAAAACTTAACTCAAAGGCCTAAACATGAGAGCCAAAACTATAAAACTTAGAAGAAAACAGGAGGGGTGGCCGCTTAGCTCAGTTGGTTAGAGTGCAGTGCTCATAACACCAAGGTTGCCGGTTCGATCCCCACATTGGCCACTGAGCTGCACCCTCCATAACTAGATTGAAACAACTACTTGACTTGGAGCTGATGGGTCCTGGAAAAACACACTGTTCCCCAATAAAAAAAGAAAAAACTGGAACATCTTCATGACACTGAATTTGGCAATAATTTCTTGGCTACAACACCAAAAGCACAGGCAGCTAAAGAAAGAGATAAGTGGGACTTCATCAAAATTAAAATCTTTTGGGCGTGTTGGTTAAGAGTTGGCTTGGGACGCCAGCTCTGAGCAGCAGGGCCCTGGTTCGGATCCCACATGAGGGGAGTGATGCTGCGCCCTCTACAGCTAAGATGGTGAACAACAGCTTGACCTGGAGCTGGGCTGCAGTGAGTCACAGTCACCAGTGACAGTGTAGGCTGCAGTGAGGCAGGCCAGCAGCTGGCATACGCTTTCGTGAGCTGCCTGCCGTGAGCAGCTGTCCAATGGCCGGCGAGCGAATGCCTCACCCAGGAAGGACGCAATGATAATACCAACATGGGCCAGTGATGAGACATCCTCCACAGCTAGACTGAAGAACAAAAGGACAGCAACTTGTCTGTTCCCATTCCCCGATTCCCCAACGCTGTTCCCCTCCTCCAATTCCCCCAATAAAATCCTTAAAAAAACCCCCAAAAAAGCTTTTGTTCATCAAAGGACTCATATTAACAGTAGCAAAAAGGCAATGAACAGAATGGGAGAAAATATTTGCAAATTACATACCTGATAAGGGGTCAATATCTACCATATATAAAGAACCCCTTCAACTCAACAGAAAAACAACCTAATTTAAATATGGGCAAAGGGTCTGACCAGACATTTCTCCAAGAAGATATACACAAATGGCCAAAAAGCACATGAAAAGATGCTCAACGCCACTGATCATTAGGGAAACGCAAATCAAAACCACCATGAGATATCACCTCACACCCATTAGTGATTATCAAAAAATGGAAAATAATGAGTGTGGGTGAAGATGTGGAGAAATTGGAAGCCTTGAGCATTGGTTATGTAAAATGGTGCAGCTGATGTGGAAAAGTCTGGAAGAAGGGAAGGCTGGGGGGCCTGTGAGGGGGGGACCTGTCTCCCTGAGCTTGGGAACTATCATTGGAGGATGAGGAGCCCTGTATTCCACTCTGGGGGTTGCATGCAGATTGCAAGGGCGGACACTGGGGGAGGCACTGGACTGGTGCCCACTGTCCCCTCCCCACAGCCTCCATCTCCTCCATCCCAGCCCTGGGGCCCTCTGCTTCCTCCACCTGCTCCAGCTGCACTGAGGCCACACCCTGGGTCTCTGGGGTTCTTCCTGCCCTGTAGCCTAGCCTAGCTAGGCAGAGCCTTTCACAAAATGTTCCTGTGTAGCAGTGACTTGGCTGTGGGGGCATCGGGGGATATGCTGGACCAAAGCTGAGTCTGAGTGGAGGGCTCTGGAAATGCTACCATGGGCATGCATGTACACCTTCAGAGCATGGAGACAGGTACCTCCAGGTATGCCCAGCCCCCCTTCCAGGGGGCTCCCTTTCCAAGCTCTCCAAGAGAACCCTCAGATCTCTGCCTGGCTCCTCAGCCCCTGGCCTGGCGCCACAGGGCACAGGAGCGCCGTCTAGTGGTCCCACGCTGGAATGCTGAGGCCGCATGAAGGTGTCATGACCCTATTCATGCATGTGGTCTTGCGCTTGCTCCATCCTATCCACTGGGTTGTTCCTACACTAGAACAGAAGGAGGAGCAAAGTCTGGGACCAGCTCTGCCTGCCTGTGCCATGACCTTGGGTTTGATTGCTTCTCAGTGCCCCAAAAGAAAAAAGAAGATGGTCATTGGATGCCATCACTGCCAACTGCCAAATCGCCACTGTCACCAAAGCGAGAGGCTGTGACTAGGCTGAGCACTCAGAACCTGATGGTGGCAGACCTCCTGTTGTGTGTCCCTCCCAGCCACTACTGGTGGTGGGAACTATAAGATGGTGATCTTGGGCCGGCCAAGTGGCGCGTTGGTTAAGAGTTGGCTTGGGACGCCAGAGGGCCCCGGTTTGGATCCCACATATGAGGGCCAGTGACACTGCCCTCTACAGCTAAGATGGTAAACAACAACCCAACCTGGAGCTGGACGGCTGTGAGTCGCCGGAGATGGCATAGGCTGCAGCCCCTGCTGCAGTGGGTTGCCATGGGCTACCGTGTGTGGCCAGCAGCCAGCGTGAGTGGGCAGCAGCTGATGTGAGCTGCCAAGAGCCGCTGTGAGCGGCCGTCCAGAAGCCGGCGACTGATCTGCCTCACCCGGGAAGAGCGCAATGATGGTGCCAACTTTGGCCAGTGAAGCAACATCCTCCACAACTAGACTGGAGAACAAAAGGACAGCAACTTGTCTGTTCCCCTTTCCCCAATTCCCCAGGGCCATTCCCATCCCCCAATTCCCCAATAAAAATCTTTAAAAAAAGAAACAAACAAAAAAAACTGGCGATGGGGGATGTGGTGGACTGGACAGGGGAGAAGAGAGAGGTGGGTGGGTGGAAGGATATCTAGGACTCGGACTTGTGGGGTAGGAGAGAAGGAGAGATCAAGGGTGAAACCAGGCCTTGAGGTTGGGTGGCTGGGACCTACAGGGGAGACCAGGGTCTGCAGGTCTGTTGGGCTGGGGTGGGTGAGTCCAGTGTGGGTTCCGGGTGCCAAGAGACACTCCATACAGGTGCAGACCTGGGCATCCTCGCTGTGCAGGTATCTGAAGCCCCAGGATGGAGGAGACCACCCAGGAGGGTGACATGGATGGCAGGAAGGTGTTAGTTGAGCAGACCCGAGAAACCAGCACTCACCGGTGGTGGTGAGTGACTCCCACAAACGAGCCAGCAGGAGTGGACATGGGGCAGGAGAGCAGTGGGCAGCACCGAGGAGAACAGAGCAGTGGAGTGACGGCCACTGAGGGGGCAGGCAACATGGGGGGTGGCTGACTTATCCATTTGTTTTTGATATTGAAAGTCCCCTCCCGCAATTGCACTCATAGGTAGAGACTCAAAGGACTGGAAGTCAGGCACACCCATCAAAATGTGTATGAATGTTCGTGGGATTACCATTCCTATAAGGTGGGAACAACCGCAGGGCCATCAACAGACACGTCATTAACAAACTGTCCACACAATGGAATATTAGTCAGTTATAAAAAGGACGGAAGCCTTGGGGCCGCTGGTTAGCTCAGGTGGTTAGAGCACAGGCTCATAACACCAAGGCTGCTGGTTTGATTCCTACATGGGGCAGTGAGCTGCGCCCTCCACAACTAGATTGAAGACAACGACTTGACTTGGAGCTGATAAGTCCTGGAAAAACACACTGTTCCCCAATAAAATTTTAAAAAAAGGAAGGAAGGCTTGACACATGCCACAGCACGGATGGACCTGGAGAGCATGCTGAGAGAAGCCAGACACCAAAGGCCATGTACTGTGTGATTCCACTCATGAAATGTCCAGGACAGGCAAATCCCCAGAGATGAAAAGCAAATCAGTGGAAACCAGGTGCTGGGGGAGGAGATGGGGAGTGACTGCTTCATGGGCACGGGGTTTCCTTTTGGGGGCACGAAAATGTTCTGGAACTAGATAGAGGTGATGGTTGCACAACACTGCGAATGTACTACATTGCCACTCAACTGTTCACTTTAAAATGGTTACAATGGCAAATTTTATGTTTTATGTATTTTATAATAATAATAATAATAATAATAATAATAATAATAATACCCTGAAATCTCGCCTCCTTGGGAACCCCCTCAGTTATGGGCAAGCCAGGCTGGCAGGTCACGACCACATAAGCTGTGAGGGGAGCACAGGCTGTCATGCAGTGGTGGCTGTGACTTCAGCGGGTGAGCTGCCCTGTGGTGGGGCAGGAGCCGGGCTGCAGGGTGAGGGATGGGCCAGAGAGAAGCCGTGGAAACAGCTGGTGGACCAGAGCTGTCTGGCTGTGAAGGGGAGCAGGTCAGATAGGAAGCTGGGGGAGGCACCCGTCAAGGGAGCAAGTTTGTTGTTTTGTTTTTAATCCCAGAAATTTGACATGTATTTAAATGTTGCTGAGAAGGTCAGTAGGTGGAATGCATTGAAACCCCCTCCCCCTTTTTATTTTTTTTCTAAATGGGGAGAGAAAAACATTATCATCAAATGGCCCAAGAAGAGGTAAGTGACCTTACTACATGAAGATTCACCAAAACCAATAAGAAAAACACAAAAACCTGAAAAGCTTGTTGGCTAAGGATGACGGGAAACCAGTGATTCACAGAAGAGGAACTGAGATCAGAGATAAACAGAGGGGGAAACTGAGGCCTGCCCAGGGTGAGGCCGAGACTGTGGGTGTGGGGAGACTGGGCAGGGCCTGGGGGCGGGGGGCGGGGGTGCCAATCCCTGTCGTGTTTCTGGGTCTGCCTGGGCCTTGGTGAGCTTCTCAGTGCTGGTCTTGTGGGGTGGCTGTGTGAGCAGGAGAGTTTGGGGAGCAGCAGGACAGTTTGGAGAACAAAGATAGCAAGGCAGAGGGTAGGAAACCCCACAGGATGTCCCCTCCTCCCAGGTTCAGGGGCAGCCTCAGATCCTGCCCCTGCTGCCCCTTGAGGCGTTAGTTACCTGCCCAGGGAGAAGGGCAGGGCCTGGATTCTGAGAGCAATCGGGGTGCGTGGCCAGGGGCCTGGGTTCTCACACCATCTGCTCTGGACTGAATTGTGCCCCCAAACTCTGTATGTGGAAGCCCCCACCGACAGTGTGACTGTTTGGAGATAGGGCTTTAAGGAGGTCACTGAAGTTAAATGAGATTAAGGGTAGGGCCCCAATCCACTAGGATTAGTGGCCTTATAAGAAGAGGAAGAGAAATCTGTCTCTCTCCGCCATGTGAAGACACAGAGAGAAGTTGGCCGTCTGTGAGCCAGGACAAGGCCCTCACCAGAGCCAGACCATGCTGGCGCCCTGATCTCAGACTTCCAGCCTCCAGAACCATGAGAAATAAACGTCTGTTGTTAATAAGCCCCAGTCTGTGGTATTTGCCCAAGCAGACTAAGACACCACCCAGGCTTCTCTGAGGCCTCAGAACACGCAGGCCTGTCCGACTGTCAATTGTCCTCCTACATGTCCTGCCTACCGTGGGAACTGCTGATGAGCACCCTTGGTGGCCTGCCATGGGGAGACTGCCACAGATCCCCTTCTTGTTCTGGGTTCCACTCAAAATTGGCAGGTGATAAGTGGGTTCCCTAGTATATACACTGCCCCCAAACCCCAAAGGTGCCACTCAGCTCTGTGTCTCTTTTTTACTGGCAGGAGGTACAACGTATAACGTGTCCTTTACCTTAGAAGCGATGTCTCAGTCATCCCCAAGCACTGCACCCTAAAAACTTCATCAATGAGTCATGCCAGCTGTTATCTTACCAGAGACTCCCTCCTTCAGGCCAATGAACATGACGTCATCGATGTGGAGGACCAATGGGATGCTTGCAGGATGATTAGGTGATCATGGGCAAGACCGTGGGTGCTTACTAATATCCTTCCCAGGTGACTGAAAACTTTGACCCTCTGTTCTGATGGGGAGTGGAGACAACAGTCACCAAATCAGCAGTCACCTTCCAAGGGCTTGAGGCTGTGTTGATCTGTCCCAGTGAAGATGCCAGCACAGCATCGATGGCTAAAGTTACCAACATACCCTGGATCCACGTGGTGTTTTCAGGTGCTGTCCTGGTGAATTCGCTGGGCTGTGACAAGGACCACCACCCCGTGTCCCCGACGTCTGAGCGTGACACTATCTTTGCCATTCTGCCACGGATGTGTGACTCTTCCACTAACACTCAGCGGGAGGGGAGGAGGGGCATTTTTGGAGGCCACTATTTCGTTTTCCCCACCATGACAGCTCCACAGTGGATGGAAAGTTCCCCCTGGGAAAATCGGAGGCTCACGGCTCTCTCCTTTCTGAGTCAGGGGATGGGTCCCTAACACCTTGTTCAACCTTCAGCAGACCGCAGGGCAGAATTGGGCAGCATACTTTGTATCTACTGTTGGAACGTTTGTGGTTGTATTTCCATTTAGGACAAGCGACGAGTGGTTTTTCCATTTCTGGTAGTACTTTACAGTTTTTGTGTTTATTCCTGGTCTTAAGCATTTGAACAAATTTAATTTAAAGAGAAAACGTGGAGCCAGGACCCCGGGTGGAGGGTCTGGGTGCTCCTGTCAGGATCGCGCAGGAGCCGCAACCTTTGCTCTCTGCCGCCCTCTGGTGGCTGTGTCTGTGGGCGGGGCGCCGTGAGGGCGCAGTTTTCTGGGCAGTTTTCTGTTCACGTTTGGGGGTGCAAACTGAGTGCCCACTCCGCGCTCGGCCCCCTCCTCCTTGGCCTCCGGGCCCCAGGGAGGAACCGGAGACACGGCCGTGCCCTGGAAGAGCTCCTGGGATGGCTGGCGTTTTTGGGGAAATGGCCGGCGAGGGACTGGGGGTTGGAAAGTGCACTTGCCCCTAGGCTGGGCTCAGAGCTGTCAGTGAGGACCCATCGACGGGCACCGGGGCCTGAGCCGGGAGCCGCTCCTGCAAGGGCTGGGTGCGTTGGACAATGAGGACAAGCTTCCGCCAGGACAGCAGGTCTTGACCTTTACTGTGCGTGATCCCCTCCTCGCCCTGGCCTCCTCGGCGCCCTGATAGCCTCCGCACCATGACCTCCTCCCTCTGACCTCTCTGTGCTGACCACCTCTGCGCTTTGACCTCCGTTTGCTGACCTCTTCCAAGCTCTGACCTCCGCGCTACAACCGTGCCTGTTGAGATGCTTAACGAGGGGGGCCTACACTTACCCCAGGTCATCGTGGAGCCCACGCGCTCCGCGCAGGAGGGCTGTGGCCAAGGCAGGGCTGCAGGTGAACCAGGTGCCCTAAGACCTGGCAGCTGTGGAGGTAGGGGCTGGGCTGCCAGGACTTCCAGGGGCGATTGACAGGCCCTGTAAACTCCACCCACCTCCAACTTTTAAACTCGAGCTTCTTAGACGGGCTTTAGGGCTACAGAGAAACTGCTTACATTTGTGTGCAGGTGTGTGTGTGTGTGTGTGTGTGTGTTGGGGTGCAAGCAGTTTTGGAATGTAAAATGCCCACAGGATTTTGGAGGTACAGGTAACTGACGTTAAGAAACCAGTTCCCCCCCTCCGCCCCCACCCTCTTGCTAATCTTGCTTAGGTTTTAGTGTCCCACACTAGACTAGTCACACTCCAGGAGGGCAGAAGTATTTGTTTATTTGCTCACCGCATATTCGCAGTGCCTAGAACAGTGCCTGGTGTATGGTGGTTGCTCAGTATTTATAGAATGAATGAATGAATGAATGAATGAACGGATGAGCCAACCCTCACTGGTTAACTGAAAATGTCTGCACTGAGTTGGCTGACTCAGGGAATTGAGAGGGAAAAAATGATTTCGGTTATAAGACAAAGTTTCACCTTTGCACACCCATAGTAGTGAACTATGATGCTGACGTCTGCACACTTGGCCTGTAGCATTCCATTATTCCTTCCACTC